TTTCACAGAACTAGAGGGCCAATGCAGAAATTGCTTATAACCTTGAAAAGACAGACCTTGAGAGAGAGAAAGAGAGAATTATAGTGCAAATAAACCGTATAGTGCATCCTTTGACAGCACTCTGGATAAAAAAGGTTTTAAAATGTCGCAAAAATGAGAAAGCTTCGTGCAGATTCACAACACTATTCTTTTGCAGACTTGGCCCGACAACTTTTTATGTAAATATGAGATTTGCATGAGTTTTATCAAATTTTCCTATCAAATTACAGATGATAAATATGGTCTCAGAGGTCCCCTTCAGTCTATAAATCTAATTAGCACTTCTGCACTCTCAGCCACACAGGACAGACGTTTAGTTTGAAACAGAAGATCTGAGCCTTTGTTTTTCAGTCAGTACAAGCCATTAAAGTTGCATTTAGCTCATACATCATTATCACTGTTATCTGCATCTCTCAGTGGAGGATTACTCCTAGTAAAACATGAAAAGTGAAGGTTAAGAACACAATAACAGAGATTAGAATCGTTCCTTATCTCTGAGGAACTTGCCGGCTTAAACAGAGCTAACCTGCTACTTATATGCCTGTGTATCAGGTAATTGGAAAGTTCTGCTCGGCTGGAACCTGCGCCGCCTCCAGTGATGTTGGTCACACTCTTTCCTCTCTTGTTCTGTAAGGGAATAAAGCCTCTGTGGGTGCGCAGCCTGAGCCCCGATAAGGAGAATGTTAGGAGGGCCAGTGATGGTACTCGGATTATACTTCCACAATCCCTCCATCTAGATTTATCTGAGGACAAACTGCCTAGAAAACTTCTCCAAAGCCATAGCATCTTTTTTGTTCAAGTTCTTAGGATTGGAATATGCCAAAGGCTAATCTGTGCCAGGATCTCTTTGCGGCGAGATTATTTTCCCACACGGATGAATGTGAATTATTCAAAGAGATGAGGCAGATTATTTGGGAGGGAGACTGGTTGACATGCACTTTAAATTCAGCTGTGTGCCGTAAGTTTATTTAAATTCAGTGATTTTGCAGCCACCGTTGCCATCGGCTTGCTGAATTGAACTAAAGAAGAGCTGATCTAAATTTACCATCAACTCCCAGCTAGAAACAAAAGCCCGTTCTCTTGAAAACAAAAGCAGTTTTTTGTAAAATGAAAAACTTGAGGCAATGAATAAGCAACAGCAACATAATCATTTGATTGTGGATACTGAAGAGTGAAAATCTGTTTGCAACAAAACAAAGAATCTCTCTCAACGGTTTTTGCTTAACAAGAGTACCTTCATTAATTCGATTTTTGCTCCCTCCCTTCATCCTCATGCCTTCCAGGAGTAAAGACGAAGCCATTGCTGTCTTTGATAGAGCCCTTCTGTAATTAAAAAATAATGCTTACATCCGCTACTTCAACTTAAAATAGAAGATATCACTGAGAATAAAATATTTAAGGTCCATACAGTAACATCTTATCTACACAGGCCCCATTCCTCTTAGCAAAAACATTAATTACCTATACAGTGTATAATTGAGTTCTATAAAGCGTTATGAAGAACTTTTGCGCTTTAATGCAGTTCTGCTGTTAACAAATGAGCTGCACGTTCATTTAGTTCCAGAAAAAAACTGTAATTAGCATATTAGGCTGTGCAGTCAGTACACCCTATAGTACGCCATAACAGAGTTTCTGACACATACCCAAAAATATCTCCTATTCCAGCTGAGCTCTCATTAGTCACTGGAGTTGTTATTAATGTGCTTCAGCCTTTCTACTCAATCCTCCATATAACCCGCGGCTGTAGAGTGATGGTGACGAGTAACAGGGAAAACTACACATGCACTTTCCATGAATATGATACAAACTAAATAAATAAATTATTTTTCTTAACAAATGGTGCTTAAAGGGATAGTTCACCTAAAAAATCAAACTCTGTCATCATGAAACGAAGCCAGTTGTTCCAAAATTGTATGACTTTCTTCTGTGGAACATGAAAGAAGATATTTTGAGAAATGAAGAGTGTTTTGTCCATGGGCAACAAAATGGTATAGTTAACATATCCTCTTCCTTCCTAAAAGAGGATCCTTTTTATCCTCTTTTAAATTTTATTTCAGATGATCTGTTTTATTTTGTATTCATTTATATTTCAGATTTATAATTCAGATTTTACCAAATTTTTGAACCCAGATTTTTGTGAAAACTATACTAGAATGGGTAACAGCTGCAAATCTAAACTAAACGAAGATGTGATAAATTTCCCATACGATATAATATATATTTCCCTTAAACTGACTTTTCTGTATCAACTAAACTAGCTACTTTTCATGCTAGGTAAAATTTGATGTGAAATAACACATTATCAAACATATCTAACAGGTCAGGTGTTGTGCCTCTACTGCTTTTATAAGTCACCTGAGCTTAGATGAACGATTTTAATAGTAGTCCTGCCATTGACACTTTCACTTTACAGCCCTATTTCATAATGCAATTTAACATGTTCTCAATGTTCTTCCTCACACTGCTCTCCCCGGTGGAAAGCGCTTTCCCATCTTAAGTGCCTTTCCATTATTCTAAAAGCCCAAGTGTAAAATCGACCCGTGGATGAATGAGGGGACGAGTCAACAAAACAAGAGAACTCAGGGAAACATATCACCCATAAGGCATAGCACGCCACTAAAAAACATACAATTGACAGGAAAGCTGCTGCAAAGTGAGAATTAATTTGTTCAGTGATGACAACCGAATGTACAGACATACACGACAGCTGGTTTTGTCTGATTCAAGTGTGCACCACTTTCATTGCACATAGTGTCACGGTCCAAAAGTGATGATTCAAATGGCAATTTAAGCTTTGTATTGCCAAATCCAAAGGGTAAATGGAGCCTTTATAATTGAAATCATGACCAGCACAAGGCTTGATCTTGACCCTCAGGAAGACTCTTCACTCTAAATGTATCATGGAGACTGACCTGAAACTGTAAGTGCAGACACAGTAACTTCAGCTGTGAGTTAGCTCTACTATTCAGGTGACCAATTTATTATCGATCTTTCCATTTAGCTGTTGTTGTCTGGTGAAGCTTCCCATCATGGCCTTCACTGTGTAAGAATAATATAAAAAGGAGGTTTCATCCCTTTTGCAGCCCCCACACAATTATTTGTCTTTCAGGAATTATTAAACATGCCACTGATTTATCAGTAAACATATATCTCAACCTTGACAGGCTTAATGTTTTTCATTCATACAGTCATTCTGCTTTCTGTCATTTCCCTTCCCTTCATGAATTATTAATACACCCGTGCTCTGTCTGTGTAAAATGTCCTTCAAAGGCCATGTGTTAATAACTAATTGAGGTATTCAAAAACCCAGTGGGCTTAAAAGACCATAAAGTAACTGTACAAAGTACAGTATAAACATTCTATCACGTCTCCAGACATATCGCAATCACACAAATAATAAATTACACTTTTCAAAAGAATACTGTTTTTTATAAAAATACTTTTATTTAACAAGGATGCATTAAATTGATCAAAGGTAACAGTAAAGACTTTCAAATATGTTTGTTTGAATATTCCATTTATAAAAATAATTTATCACTGTTTTCAAAAAAATATTAAGCAGCACAACTGCTTTCATCATTGATAATTATTAGAAATGTTTCTTGAGCAGCAAATCAGCATGATTTCTGAAGGATCATGTGACATTGAAGACTGGAGTAATGCCTGCTGAAATTTGATTTTATTACATTTTAAAATACATAAATTGGAATAATATTTCACAACATTACTTTCACTGTATTTTTGATCAAATAAATGCATCCTTGATAGACAAATGAGACACTCTTTTAAACACAAACAAACCAACGCACGCAGGCACGCACACACACACACAAACTCATAACGACCCAAAAGTTTTCAAAGGTGCTGTATGTATAAGAGGGATTATACTCATTTTTATGGGCATATGCCAGTTACATTAAACCCTTTTGAAAAATATTTTGCAAAATATAACTATATTTCATTCAAGCTTGCCATTTTCGAGAAGCTAAAAGTCCACAAGCTTAATTAAAATTTGAGAATCTCCATTAAGGCTATGAACTGGCAGGCCTCGTGTGATCGGATTATGAGATTTGCTTAGAATTCACTACATGAAACCAGATGTCTCATTTGAACTCAGGAGGCTTGTTGTAGCATCTCTGAAATATTTAATGTGGAAAAAGTGCGGTAGTTCATAAGAACGGTTCTCTGTACAGGCTGGACGACAGACAGAGAGCATCGGAAAAGACAAAAACAAACAAACATCAAGGCTCATTATAATAATGTATTGTTATTGTGGCATTATTACACCACATTTCTGGGGTCTGCATCAAGATAAACAAACTATTTTCCCACATCCATTACCAGAATGATCCTTAGGTTTATCATTAGTTGAAGGACATTAACAAACACTCAAGTATGTTGAGAGATGAAATGTCTTCTAGACGGGTTCATTGCGCAGATTCTGGACTGCATGGCTGATTACATTCTCACATGTAATGTGAGACTTCAAGACTTCAAAAAAGAATGAAATCAGAATGAGACAACAATGATTTCACACTATTATCATCAGCATCATCATTTCAAGGAAACATAAGCATATGTATATGGGCATTTAGCTGTTTGTTTTTAAAACACTTTAGTCCCTTAAGACATTTCTCATTCCATAAACTACAAAACAAATCAAGATAAAATGAAATGAAATAAATGTTGTATGGAATTAGAAATGCCTTTATTTCTATTTTGACATTTTTTAACAATTTGTAAGTCTTCTAAAACAGTAGAAATAAATGAATAAACTTGATCAATGACCAGATCAATGTGACAGATGTCCTGATCGTTCGCAGTCTCAGCATGCAAAAAAAACAAGGCAAACAGAAAATACACCCCGCTTCAGTCAGAACAAACTTCAGATCAAACTCGAAAAGAAAGGAAGAAAAGGTGGAAAGAAATTAGGAGGGATAGAGAGGGTAGAGGAAACTGGGTGAAGATGCAGCCATCTGCTTTTAGTTTTAATATTCTGACTGGACGAGGCCATAGAAGACAATTAGAATAAACAAGAGTGAAAAGAGCCCAGTCAGTGATCCATGGCATCTTCTTCTTCTTCATCGCTGCTTTGAATAAAATCATCCTCAATGTCCTCTAGAGAAGGTCCAGCTTCATCATCATCATCATCATCATCACCTCCACCCAGCTCTGCTAACAGCTGCTCCGTATGCTCAAACATGGGTGTGTCCTCACAGCGCAGCTTCACATAGAGCTACAGATCCGAGAGAGAGAGAGAAAACATCTTATGATTATTATCAGAGGAATAGTGGGAGTGTTTGTTCAGAGAGAAAAGAGAAATCTCAGCTTTGACTCCAGGCTTGGCATGTTTTTGCAGTGTGAACTAAATCAAAACTCTACTCTGTGCCTCTCCTATATATTCCTCTTTTCTCCATCTTTCAAGGAGTCTCTCTCTCTCTCTCTCTCTCTCTCTCTCTCTCTCTCTCTCTCTCTCTCTCTCTCTCTCTCTCTCTCTCTCTCTCTCTCTCTCTCTCTCTCTCTCTCTCTCTCTCTCTCTCTCTCTCTCTCTCTCTCTCTCTCTCTCTCTCTCTCTCTCTCTCTCTCTCTCTAAGAAGGTCCAGTGCCAGCGAAGTCAGCTGACAAATCCCAAATTAGTGACTCCTTTCCAAGCTCACACGAAGCAAGCTCTGCATCAGTGGGAAATTGTTCAGCAAGTGACTGAGTGCTTGCCAGGAGAGGAAGAGAATTCAATCCCCCCACTGTCTCAACTCTTATCACTGTAAAATATCCCCCGAAAGAACATGATAAAAAAAAAAATTCTCAAAGTGACGGCTAAACAATATATCGCCCCACACTTTCTCCCTTTGGTTTATATAAAAAGCTTGCAGGAGAAGCGGTACAATTTATACCAGAACATTTTACAGCTTCAGTTCAACTGCCAAATGTGAGTTCAAGGGAAGGGATACTCATCATGATGAATCAATGATCAATTAATTGTCCTTTTAATCAACTGCAGATTATTGGCACAGATACATTCAGACGCAATCTAATGTAAAATGGAAACAACATAATGTGTTGCATATTTTTTCTAAAAAAACTGCATTCACTGCAAATTAAGTGATAATGTATAAAAGAACAACGTCAGCAAGAAATATCTGAAATTACACCATTAATAGTGTAGCAGAATGTTATGCAATGTATTTACATTACACGTTCAACTCAGTCAAAAGAATTGCCTGAAATATTTTACCATTCACAAAGTGATGTTATAAAGTAGAAAGATTCTAAATGCCTATTAACACCAAGGACGCTAACCATAACGATAACAATAAAGTCGTTCTAATATAAAATAATAGTCCACACCACAACTATAACAATACTGGCACAGAGAAACGATATCGTTAAAATCACTTTCAGAACGATTTTCAGCTGATGAACAATAAAAACAATGACAGCCAATCAGAATCTGGTAAATTAAACTAGAAAAAAACATAACTATAATAATAATACATATGATATAAATATATATATATATATATACAATATTAATAAAAATATTTTAAAATGAAAACAAAAAGCATTATAAGATTTTAAAAAGTTGGCAAAATCCACATTTGAAGTTATCAACTGTACATCTGTTTTACCGTATTAATAGTAACAATTCATCAACTTATTATTCATTTTAATGACAAACAATTATGAATCGATTATGAGAATTCCTACAATATTATTCGAGTGAGTTCTTAAAGATTGGTAAAACCGCACTCGAATAACAAGCAGTCATGATGTGATATGAATGTGACATTTAATATTTTAATGGTGGCAAAGCTAAAACGGGCATCGACGCCATGCAGACAGAAAGAGCCATGCAGAGAGCTTACAAACTTCCTCCACTTTCAGAAAGCATAATGCGAGACTGACTAATGCACACTATTTTTTTTTTTAAAGGTCATTCCTTATGAGGTATTAGCAGTGCGTTTGGAGTAGTGACCTGTAATCATGCAGACGCAGTAGTTCTGTCTACTCTAACAACCTGACTTTAATTAAGAAAGCACATTTCTTATTAATACGTGAAAGAGCAGTCATTTAAACGGCTGGAAAAACTGACCCCACAACTTATCAACCTCTCCTCCGCTGTTCTTTCCTCTCTTTACTTCTTTTTATTTAATGAGTTTTAGCAGCATAGAACCTTATTTAACTCCCCCAGGAGCGAAACCACAGAGTCCTTCACACTCACAGACTAACCAGGTCATCTCACACACACATACTGTCAGTGGGCAGCCGGTTGCTCCCTTATATCACCCTCAGAGCCGTGGGAACGGTCGCTAAGCAACAGAGAGTGGCGACGGGGCTCTCTAGGCCTCGTGGGATCTCATTTACGGACCGTTCATAAGCCCTCAGGAGAGTCTGAATCTCCTACCTGCTCTACAGATCTGACCTTCACACACACCCGCACAAACATTACAACCACTGGCCAAACCAGGTTTAGTTAAACCCATGAGGGCATTTTAACACAATGTTGATGTGTGTGCATGTACTTTCCGGCCTTTCCACTGCCGGGTATCAAGGTTAATTGTGACGATAAAGCAACACTTACACATTAAAATCACATTGGCTCACAGGACTGGAACATTTAAATGTCTTATGAATGATTTGTTATATACTGGTTAATGCATAACTGGAGTGGACGGTCATTGTGACTGTTACATTAAACTCCAGATTCAGTCAGCACTCAGATTAATAGACTAATTTGTACCAGGGCAAACATTTCTATAGGTAAATGTACCATGCCTGATTCCGAGAATACCAATAAGGATCCAGTGGCAATCTCACTGAGACTATATGCCATATCGTATTATTAATTTCTTTCCAAAACTCTTTTATTTTATCACATTCCCACATACAATGAATTAATCTGCCTTTTGCACTGTTACATTTAAAACAGGTATCTGGTTTGTTGCTATAAATTTTGTTTAGTTTTACCGGAGTTATATAAGTACGCATAAGCCAATTTGCCTTTGGCTAAGCCCCGCCCTCCTTAGTTACTGTTGCTACATCCGACAAACAAACTTCATCTGGGCTCTGGTATCAACATGGCTTATGCTGTGACAGCTCTTCCTGCTGAAATTTTATCAAACTTTTATAAAGCAGCAAATCAAGTGTCCGATAGAAGTAGGCAAAAGGGGCTGCAATATACGTTCGAAGGCTATATTCACGACATACAGGCGAAACGCAAGGAACAACAAGGCATCCAAATAGAGGCAAAAGCATACCGGTCACAGTCAAAAAATGAACCACCGCATATCCTACTAATCGAGACGGAGGCTGGGACTAACAATATCAAGGAGCAACACCAGTGGCGTAACGAGCCAACACCGGGCCCTTATGCAGGATTATCAAGGCGGGCCCCCTACTACAACACGTGATGACGCAATGTCCACGAGTAGGCTTTTGCATGCAATACGCAAGGAACTGTTTACACCTGGCCACTTCATGCTTTTTCTGTGATCGTATAGCTATCCGATCGTGAAAAGACCAGGTGTAAATTCCCTTCGAAACGCATTCGAGACGGATTTGAATCCGGTCGCTCAAACCACTTCAGGAGGTGGTCTGGGCCGCATTCCAGACGACACGGGACAAGTGTAAATACATCTGGTTGTTGAAACCACATATGTCAATTTTACTCCTCTAAAAATGCTAAAAAAAATAAACGTGTGAGAGCGTGTTATAGGCTATATGTCATAGTCAGATATGACGACGCTTCTGCAACAACACGCATCACCGCAGATGAGCATCTATTCATCAAGCCAACGCACAAACTATCGCAAATCAAAGTGAAAGTAAGTCGCAGACGCTCGCTTAACACACAATCATCTTCATTAAAAGTAAAGAAACGAAATGATCTTACCAGTACTGTTGCCGCTCTCTCTAATTGCGGTCTTCGATTTAGAAATTTTAGCTGATGATCAATAAAATACAGCTTATCTGTTGCTTTCGGTGACGTGAACTCTATTAAATCTGCATATAGCGCGGAAATTGAAGATCGGATTTATATCTGTTTTGCAAAAACACATTTATGTGACCAGCTGTAAATGGAATCGTTTTGATAAATCAGTAGCTATCCGATCTGAGAAAACGCATGAAGTGGCGTGCGCGTGTAACGTTAAACAGCCGACCCGGGGATTCCCCAGTCCCAGCTCAAAACAAATTACACCAAAATCCATGATTGTTCGTTTCACACATGTATTTAATGATCTGTAAAATATGTTGTTGTCATTATTTATTTAAAACAAAATCGTGATAAAGTAAAATGCGATCAAACTAAAAGTAGTAATATGCGATAGGGGGCCCCGGCTGTCAATCAATATCTTCCAGTCAAGCGGGCCCCTGATTGGTCCGGGCCCGTAAGCAACCGCGTACCCTGCTTACCGATAGTTACGCCACTGAGCAACACTGTTCATACAAAGCTGGGTAGGTCTCTATTCACTTCTATAATCGTTATTACAAAGCAAACGGACTACGCGAGTATAACGTTGTATTTATTAGCAGCGTGTGCTAGACGACACTTGTCAGGATTTGACTTCGGTTTTGGGAAGGGAAAAAAACGGACACCCCCCCTCCAACCTCTCTGGGAAACGCGTATCTGTGTTACAAATGCCCCAGGCACAACGTTTAACCATATTTTTGATAAAACTACGACGGTAATAGCCTGCCGAGACCAAAAATATGAGACGCCTGTGTTAAAGTCAATGGAGCGCTGTGAAAAAGTGTCGGACTACTGTGGGAGCTCGTTCATGGCTGTGCTGTGATTGGTCAATCTACATTCTAGGGTGTGGCTTAGCCAAAGGCGAATTGTACTGTAACAGTTTTAGTCTGCTGTTAACTGTCTGTGTTTGGGCTTTTGCACATGTTTGCTCCCATTTTTCTTTATCTATCTTCAATCCAAGGTCGTGTTCCCACATGGCTAGTCTGGATGTAGATGACTCCTGAGAACCTAACAATAACATGTTGTATCAACAAGATATGTGTCCTCCACCAAGGCTTGGTTTAGATACACATTTCTCCAGATTAGTTAGCTCTGGCTCAGCAAGTCCTTGTCCCCGGGCAGTACGTATAAAATTCCTAATTTGCAAATATTTATAATAATGTTTTTTAGGGATTTTGAACTTGTCAGTAATATCAGTAAATGACATTAGAACGCCATCTTTGTATAGATCCTTAACTTTCCACACACCATTCTGAGCCCAGAGTCGA